TCTTCTTCCACCTGAGTGAGAGTTCTCTGAGAAGTGCCCGCACAATGACATACACAGCAGCATAAACACTGTGACTCTGGGAGGAAGCATTCATATTCCAAGCATTCAGAGTCCGAGTTTCCAGGGTACTGTTTTGTTCACATCGACTCAATGTCTTGATTCCATCTTGATCCAAATATGGACATTCAAATAGCGTGGATACAGACATCATGAGGATATTTTGCAGGCTGAAGAGTTCTAAGAAAATCTTTAAAACCAGAAATCTCTCCTTGTAGAAAGAAAAAGACAAACCTCCACCAAAATATGTGTAACTTAGATTTTTGATCAAAGGGCAAGATAGTTATATCCCGATCAGAAGTTGTGACTCAGACGTTTCCAAATGGAGTAGTGCAATAGATGTTACACAAATCTAAGAAGAGAGTGAGTATCACCAAGGGCAACGCTGACCTTTGGATATGAGAATCTTTCAATGAAGAGTTGCCTGTTCACTGTATCCTTAGCAGGAAACTCTGGAATCCTTTCTGCAAATAGAATACAGAGTCCATTGTCGTTCAACTCCCGTGTCACGCCCCTGAGAAAGATTTCTCCCCTGATGTCATCTGGAACCACAAGGCCAACCCAGACCCAACCAAAATGCAGCATTATTTGAATGAGGTAATGATACAGAGCTGCAGTGTTTGTAGGAAGCTGATAAATCGACTGGAGCTGGACATTGTCTCTGAGACTTGGGTCAAACGGACCATAGCTGATCTAAACAGAAAACATAGTTACTGCTTACACAAAATCATGATGTACATTCACCAGTGATTTCATTTATCCTCTTTTGCACGCACTGTGGCAGAATAAAACAATTGAGTAAATGACGAAGAACTAGCAATTCATTACATATCATCCCTCTCTTCATAAATTGAATTTTGTTTGGCATCCATTATATTTTTTGTGTGTTTAACATCAAATGCCAGAATTTTTTGTCTACCTGGGAATGTTGTAGAGACTTAATACACGGGAAATCAGAGTTGATGTTCTTGTTGAAATGCCTCCTATCACAGCCACCAGCTTGGCTCTCTTCTCAGACCTACAGGTGTAATTAGGAACTGGAGGACTCTCTCCTGAAAGCAGAGACAGAGAACTCTCCATGACCTTCATCTCAATGTAGTCGACACTGAAGAGTTAGAATCCATGGGACCCATTGAACAGCATATTCAAGTTCTTTTTTTTTTTTTCAAGTGCTTATTGATCTTTTCTACAGCAAAAATCACAGCCAGCAGCTGCTGATAATGCCTAGTAAGTTCCCTAAAACACAATGGTTAAAAGACAGTGTTCTAAATTTTTATTTCTAAAGAAGGCAAAGGAGATGCACAGTAATCTAAGAAGTAAACTGGTTATCTCACATCAAAAATTTGGTGGCTAAAAAAAAATCAGACTGACAGCTTTACAGTCAAATTTACAATTTTGGCTTTTTGATGTGTACTTCATCTTGCATCTGAGAAACTAAGGTCAGGGTGTGAAGTAAATGGAAAATGGTGAAAATAAAAATTTAGAATTTTATATATTCTTCCCTTGGATATAAGGATCCATTTCAGGAAAAACAATATTTTGTTAGATTACCCAAGGAAATACACAAAAGATGTACAAAATGAACAAATTAAAATGACACAAGTAAAAAAGATCTCAACACAGCAAAGAAAAACACTTCTCAACTGTCGAGTGCTTTGCAAGTCCTCTTATGCACTTAAGAGCAGCCACACACTTAAGCGCTATCATCCTCTGGTACAAGGGGACATCACACACACACGTGTTCATAAGGTGGCATATAAAGTGTATCTTGAAATCCGAATTTGCTTCTCATGTCACCATCAGTCACTCTTAGGGAAAGGAGTCCACCAATAATGAAATCCCCATCTCGATAGCAGCCAGGAGAACCAGGTGAAAGAATATGACATTGTTCCTGCGATACGAAAAGGAGAGCAACAAAGAAGTGTTAGATAATTTCATGTTAATAGTCATACAGACGATTCTGACAGATAAAGCCAGAGAAATATTTTCTATTGAAATCCTGTTCTGAACTGAACATTCCTAAAAGTAGGTGAACAGGCTCTGCTCAAAACATGAGCCTCTCCAGTGAATGTAGAGTGTTTATAAAGCACTCACTCGGGTGTGAGGCAGGTGTTGTAATACCTAAACTTTCCTTTGTTTTCTACATACAGCTTGTTGTGCACCTTCTCATCCTTCAGTTCACTTTCTATCAATAGTGAGCGTGAATCTCCAAGGAGTCATAAATCTCTGCTATTGCACCTGCTCTTCTGATTGTAATAACAAAACATTCCATTAAAAACAAACTCCAAATTATAGAAAATTCCTAGGAGTTTTGTATTTTCTGTGGGTTCTGAGAAACTACAGAACCCACGACAAGTACTGTAGACTACAATATTGGCTTTATGTTAGCACAAACCAAGAAGCCTTCTCTGAGGGATAACTTTATTATTATCAAGCTTTTAACAACATAGCAAGTCACAGATCTCAGAAGGACAGTATCAAAATGCATGTTGGGTGAACATTTTTCACATGACTTTTTATCATGTGGTGCTTCTACAACCTCAGGCAAAAGAGGAATTACTCATTGTTTATATTTGCAATAATAAGCCAAAGCATTTTCACTAGACAAAAATCATTTCTGACCAGTTCACAGAGCCACTTACTTAAGTAATGGATCCTTACTTTTTCAATTGTATGTATTTATGGAAAATATGCATACACAGATGCATATATTTAGGCAAAAGATATTTTAACTACTACAAAAGATCGGTGATAAGGAAAAACTTCTGAAATCTGGCTGGATGGCAGGTCACCTCACCTGTAGAGAAGTAAATATCAGAATGACATCAGATTTTTCCACAGAAACCAGGGAAGTGAGAAGAGGTTGGAGTGAAACTCAATTTAAGGCATGGCCCACCAAACAGAGTGCTGCACCCAGTAAAGTTACTGTTCAGAAGTGAGGGAGAAAGAGTATCTTCATCAGGCAAAAACATGTGTGTGTGTGGGGGGGGTGTTTGTTGCCAGTACGCCTGTCTTAAAAGATATCTTAAAAGTTTCATAGACAGGAGGAAAATGGTATCTGTTAGAAATGATCTACATTAAGGAAAGAAGAAAATTATAGAAGCTAGTAAAGGTAAAATGTAAAATTTTTATTTGGGTTACCCACAATTAATCTAAAATAAATCAGCCTAACAGCAGAACAGTTGTTAAAAATAACATCAGCAACTGGAAGGAGTAAGGAGAAAGGGTCTCAGGATTACGGGTGAGGGAAGAGTGGTGGGTGGATACAAGCCATGTACAGTGTGTGCCCACGTGGACAGCACAGCGAAGCCTCCGATCTGTACAGCTGGCCTATGTCAATAAAAAATATAAAACAAAGAATATAAACATATATATTTTGACAAGTGAATATTATCAGTATATAGTAATTGCAAATCAATAATCATTAACAATGATCAGAATCAGTAAAACATTGACTGTGATAATTATGATTAATTATGTAATCATTCATAGCGTTCATTCACTAGACAGCTCCTCTCTTTTTACGGGTCAAATGCTATTTTCTAATAGAATATGCGTTAGTTACCTTTCCACCAGTAGAACAAAGCATCTAACACAGGCAGCATACAAACTGAAGTGATGCTTCTTTTTGCTGGTGGATCTGGAGCCTCAACTCCAACTTCAGCCAGCCTTGTGGGTCTCAGAGGAGGAGGAGGAGGCCCCATGGCAGAAACCAGGAGGGAGAGAGACTGGGAGGCTGGGACTCCAACGAGCTGGGACACCAATGGCCTCACCTCCCACAACTTCGCAGTACCTCCCAATGCTGCTGCCCTGGGGACCCAATCTCTCATGTACAGACATGTGGGGGACACAAAAATCACGGCGACTGACTTGGACAGTTTTAAATATTCTAATATGTCAGTATTACAATGAAATTAAGAATGTAGAAGAAATTTCCCAGTCAATGAAAGTATTAGAAAATCCCTTTAGTACTGAAACTAGTTTCTACCCCATGAGACCTCTGAGTCATCAAATGTGGGGATGAAGAAGTCATGTGGATGTGGATTGTACTTCTCCTTTCAACCTTTGTGAACTTAATGCAAGTGAGGTCAAAGTAATCTTATTCTTAAATATCTTTCAGGAGGGAGATGGCACATACTTAACATTCCAGAGAAGCGCTACTCTTTTTAAAAAAAAATTTTTTTTTTTGGCTTTTTGAGACAGGATCTCACTACATAGTTGAGACTGACCTGGAACTCACTATGTAGCCTACGCTGGTCTCGAACTCACAGCAATCCTCCTGCCTCAGCCTCCCGAGTGCTGGGATTACAGGCATGCGCCACCACGCCCAGCTAGAGAAGCACTACTCTCTAATTGCTTCCTCTGACATTTAAATCCATTTCTCCCAAAGTAGCTACCTTATGGAACTGTACTTGTCAAGCAGATCAGAACAATAGAATCACAGGCCCTGCCAGGTCTCTGAAGCTTTAGCAGCTGTGTAGTGTTGAATGGAATTGAGTCAGCTAAGACCAGTGTGTGATGTAAACTCGTAATTAACACTTTGATAAAAGAAACACAAACCCCACAATGCTAGAAGGTTCAAGAGATCCAGATGAAGGAGGAGGAGAAAGATAAAAGGTGAGATTTCCATGTCTAAGTCATAAGTACACACAGTCTGTGCACAGCTCTGTGTTAAGTAAATGGGGATCTGGAGTCTGAGACTCCTTTTCAGTTAACAGATGGGTAGGTAGCATAAAATAAACGTAGAACTGGGAATGCAGAGGAGGCTCCCCATCAGCAGGGACAGATGGGGGCTGAGTTAGACCTTGAAGAAAATGAGACATTTTATCAAACAAAATAATATCCTCTTTTCAGCCTCCTGTGTTCCCCCATGCTGGCCCGTTGTTTTGATGCTTCCCATTTCACCATTTCCTCATTTTGTTGTCTTCTGGAGTGAAGAGAATTAGTGTTGCCGGGTGCACACCACTGTCCTGCTTATGCAAGAAAGGAAATCCGGAGTCCAGGGCACAGCTGCAGAGCTGTGGTCCATACTGCAGGTCCTTTGGGGTTGGACTTTACAAAAACAGACAAAGCGTTCACCTTTGAAGATTAGTTTTCTCCGGACCCTACCAACGAAACACTTCTGGACCCAGATATTGGGAAGAGAGAGAGAGCAGTCAAGGAAAGACAGAGAAAGAGAAAGAAAGAAAGAAAATGAATTCTTCCAAATCTTCCGCATCACAATGTGCAGGTAAAATTTGCAACTCTTCCTTTTGTTCCATTGATCTGTTACGGGTATAGGGGGCCAAATGTGGTAAGGGACAGGAGGACAAAAAGTATTCAGAAAAGTGAGAAAAGGGGGGGTGCATGCATGGAAGAAGGACAAAAGCGAAAGAGAGATTAGAGTGTAAGTCACGTAGGAAAGCTTGCTGGCCTGGGTACAGGCACAGCTACCAGATCTGCCTTCTGTGACACGCCAGGCCTCTAGGTCTCCACCTCCCTTCTGGGGGACTCACCTGTTTTGTAAAGAGCATTTTGAAACAGGGAGGAACTACCCTGTGATTGTCAGTGTTCTGCGGAATCTAAGAGATGGAAAACTGTGACACTGAGGGGACAAGAGAGATAACAAGCAGAGAGGTGGGAAGGCATACAAAGAAACAACTAATGGGGAAGAAAGCCTTGAAATGATTTTTTTTAAAGTAGTTTTCAAAGCATCTTTTTAACAGGAGACAGGATAAACCACACACCTGAGTTCAGGAGTCGGTCTCAATAACAGTAACTGATTAAACCAGGGGTTCTGTGGTCTTCAGACCACCAGTGGCAGGGGCCTCAGAAACTTCTTGGTTCCGTACAAATTCTAATGAATTGTTAATTCAGGGAGTGAGGCCCAGAAGTCTTCCAATCTGCTCTCCAAGTGATTCTCATGCATGCTGAAGTGTGGGAATTATTTAGTACCATGTGAGAGGAAAGAAGCAAATAAGGAAAAATAAGACTCCTGTGCTATTTTCTGTATTTTGCCTCTGGCAGACTGACTGTGTTTGTACCTTTCTTTCCACAGAGAAAGGATGCTTCTCTCACCAGGGACACTTCTGGGCTGTGGCTGGGGCCTCCATCCTGCTTCTTTCTGCCTGTTTTATTGCCAGATGTGTTGGTAGGTGCTGAAAGTCTCATTCAACCAAATTCTCTGAGCTTCCTGTGATTTATCTTCTCCTACCCAGGGAGTCTTTTTTTTTTTTCAGCTTTAATTAAGTTTATTGGTACATTTTAGGGATACAGTACAGTTACATTCATTGTTGGGATCTTGTACCTCTACATGACAGGTCTTGGTTATCATTTTTCCCCCTTGTCCCTGCCCTCCCTTCACCCCTTCCTCCCCTCCCCATCTACAAACACTTATTTCCATCTTTTCATTATCTCACATTTTTTTCGTTTCCCTTATTACCCTTCCCCTGCCCATTCCACCTTCCCTACACCTTTAGCTCCTTTCTTTCCATTTCTCAATGTCAGTAATCTTATTAGGATCTTCTGTATTACTGCAGATTATTCACACCAGAGAAACTATTAGGTATTTACACATGTGTGCCTTATTTATTTCTCTTAGGAGTATATCTTCAATATGTATCCATTTTCCTATGAATGAATCTATTTTCTCATTCTTTATGGCTGAGTAATATTCCATTTTATAGAAAAACCACATCTTCTTTATCCAGTTTCCAACGGATGGGCAAATGGGTTGTTTCCAAGTTTTAGCTATTACAAATTGTGCTGCTATAAACATGGGTGTGCATAATTCACTGTGATATGATTCTTTTAGTTCTTTTGGAAAGATATCCAGCAGAGGGATGGCTGGGTCAAATGGAACCTCCAGTCCAAGCTCTTTGAGGTATCTCCATATTGATTTCCATAGTGGTTGCACCAGTCTGCCAGGGAGTCTTTACATTTCACATTTTCCCTATTAACTCCAAGCTGTTCCTCCAGCAAGAAACCCCAACTGGTACAGAAGTCTTACCAAATTTTTGGGCTCTCTGACACATTTTTTCATGACGGCTATTTTACATCTTCTTGGTGGTCTTGAGTTCTTTCTTTTGTACCATCATCATCAGTACAGTCTTGTCTTTGAGATAACAAGCTTGAATCATAGTCTTACTGATCAAGGACACAAACAAAATAAATTTTATGGAAGGAAGAATAGAGAGGGCTCGACTTGTCATAAGAGTGAATGCAAACTCACCAGTTTCCCCTTGGGCATGTGAGTCGAAATTAAACTGAATCTTTGTCAATCAAGAAAACCAGGAAATATGGATTCCTTATTATTTCTTTGACTAAGTGAACCTCAATGCCTCTGCATGTGGAAAAGTAGATAGTAAAAAAAAAAAAAAAAAAATTATTGGTAAAGATGCTGTGAAAACAAAATTGGAAAATTGATTTTTATTCCAAAATTAACTGTGCCCTATTTCTTACAGTAACATATCAGAGCTTTCGCACTTGTGATGAGAAGAAGCTGCAGCCACGTGCACATTTCCAGGAGATTTCCTGCGATAATAATGGACCAGGTATAATTGTCCCCAAATTGGAACATGAAAATGTGTATGTCAACATTCTCTGTATTCTGAACTGACTCTAGAATAGGTAAAATTGTGCTCTATTTTTTTCAAAAACAAAATGTAATATCCCTCTTGTGCTGTGTAAGGAGTTGATAAGGATAAAGGTACAAAATTTTAGAAATGCAATTAGCAGTGGGACAGGAAATCTCGCAGACATTAGTTTTTATTTAGAGTAAATTTGAGGCGAAGTGCAACTTCTCTTTTCATTCACTACTTCCAGTGGAGAAAAAAATTATAGAGCATTTGTAAGTAACTCAGAGTTAAACTCCAGATGCTTTTATAGATTGTGTTGCTCTACGTCTTAATAAAATGGTACATGACGTCAGGAGAGTGACTTTGTTTTCTGAGCTGTAATTTCTTCATCATTAAATGAAGAGAAGGTGGATTTGTATTATTAATAAATTTGAAAGGCCAATGTTCTATAATTACAAGAAATGGAACCATCTCTACATCAGTGATTTGGATGGTTTTAAGCAGTAGCAGAGAGGTAGCTTAGGAATCACCCAAGAAAATGCATAACTTATAATTTCTGACCTTGGTAGACTAAGAACAGATGACAGATGTGAGATAGATTGTGTATAATGTTGAACTTATTGGTACTGGTATGTAAAAAACTAAAGATTGTATTCAAAAGCCAAGAAAATTGCTGTCTATGTTTATTAACATTGAAATTAGCCATAGTCTTAGATAGTAAGATGGATGTGATATTCGAATAAAGGATTCCAAGGCTTCTAATTATAAATGAATTATTAATGTGGGATTCCATAAGATGAGAAGAAATTTTAAATGTGATTGCTCGGTTCAGCTGGAACACTCCCTGAACGTCTCTCCTAGGTTCAGTAAAGCGTTGCTGTCCACTGAACTGGCTACACTTCCAATCGAGCTGCTACTTCTTTTCTTCCACCACCTTGACCTGGCCGTCAAGTTTAAAAAACTGCTCGGGCATGGGGGCTCATCTAGTGGTCATCAACACGGCAGAGGAACAGGTAACCTGAGCACACAACCTGCTACCACTGTGGCCTTCGTCACAGACGCCGTACGCGTTTGACTCCTAATTACCGTTTGCTCAATGAACATGTTGACATGTGCGCTGTCCCCACTACCTCTGAAGGTCAGTCTCTGGTTTAACTGATCTTCATTACTAGGACAACCTAAGAAAAAAGCTGATTTCCACGGGGCGCTCTATTGGTTGGCAGCAGAAAAAATGAGATTGGGAGTTGATTGAGCACATTACATCAAATAGGGCAAAAAGCTGGCCATTATCTCCAAATTGTGACCGATAATGCTTTGTAGAAGATATATGGAGGAGATTTGATTACCAATAGCAGTACAGGAACATTGTGCAATTACTTTTTTCTATATATATCTATAGATATATATCTATATATCTATAGATATATATATCACAATAAAACATTTAATAGAGAACTTCTGATGACTTTACACTTTCAGATCCACGTATCTATTACCTCCAGCCTAAATCATACTTTATTTCTTTTAATAACAATTACTTGCACTGTTTCTTCTGAAGTGAAATAGCTATTTTGCTCCCTTTTTGATTGTGTCTCTTCCATAGGAGTTCCTTTTCCACACAAAACCTAAACTGAGAGAGTATTACATTGGCCTGACAGACCAGGTGATCGAGGGGCAGTGGCAGTGGGTGGATGGCACACCTTTCTCTCTGAGGTAAGAACCTCCTGACGGGAAATTTTCATGCTACTTCCCGTGCGGATGCTAGAGCGTTGTTGAGGGAGGTGCCCAGAGCTTCCTTTTGTCCCACAGGTGCATTCAGATACATCGTTTGTGCTGCTAGACACAGCAAGAGGGTGAGCCAGAGCAGAGGAGAAAAGAGATAGGCATAGCCTCTCGCTTTCCCTGGGACTATCTCAAGAATGAAAGAGAAATACTAGACGGCCATGACAAGGAGACTGGAATGGAAGAATCACTGAGTGAAAATGCAGAAGAGAGAGAAAGTAGAACTGAGTCTTATCTCCAAATGGTTGTAAATTTAAAAAAAACAGTAATTTGAGATAGACAGCAGATTCTTACAATGTGAAAGTGGGACCACTTAACATCTTTTATCATCGTAAGGTCTGTTTAATGCCTTTATGTCATTAAAACATAGGGGTTTAGAATTTCCAATTTTTTTCTCATGCTATTTTACCCAAATTAACGCTTTCTAAAATACATCAATGTTTCTAGTCTTTACTTAGCATTTGAAGACCGTAAAGGCAGAAGCCTTAAGTGACTTAGCGGACAGCTCTAGGAGTAGCGCCCGGACTGCTCTCCAGGCGAGTGTTTTCAGGGCAGCTCTGTGACACTGAAGGACGCGCTCACTGACGTACATTGTGGAATAGGGAACCAGGGCTGGTGAGGACAGCACTGCAAAGGAAGCAAACGCACCCGGGGGTCAGCCCGCCCCGTGTCTTCTCACTCTGGGTCTACAGTCGTGAGGGCGCACTGGGCCTTGGGACGCACAAACTCTAAGGCCTGCGCCAGTGGCCTGGCTTCTCTGAGATTCCCTTTCTTCATTGACAGATGAAGGCGGTAGTAACTACCTGGCAGGATTGTGGTGAAGTCAAATGACGCAAACCTCACTCGCCCAAATATGTTAGGGGCTTTTATTTCCCCTTCCTGGGAGTTAAAGTCCCCCCTGTCTCTTCTCCAGCTTCTGGGATGCAGGGGAGCCCAACAACATAGTCAGCGTGGAGGACTGTGCCACAATTAGGGACTCTGGGGACCCGAAGAGGAACTGGAACGATGTGCCCTGCTTCTTCTCCATGTTTCGGGTTTGTGAAATGCCAGAGATAAATCCCCTGGACTGAGACAGTTACCTATGAACAGGAGCATGGCTTAAATCATCTGTAATGAGGAGGACCATGTGCGGCCACACCCATAAGGCCAGCTCGAGGGTTCCTTCACTGGACACCACAAAGGGCTCCTTCAGTGTCCTTTGTTGTGAAAAAAATAAAAATAAGTAATCTTCAGTGTTACAGTTCACGATATGGACTGAAATGCATTTTCCTCCAAGCTAATCTAAGGTCCTCTTCTTGGGATTTACAAAGTAAGTCACTAGTAAATACTGTGAGAGGGAAGGGACACTTCTTTCAATACATTGGTAAGTATTTATGAGAAAGTACAGGGGCATACAGAGTGCAGAAATTTCAGGAAAGAAGATTTTAAAAAATGCCTTTGAAAGATCAGCTGATGGCCTTCTTCTTTCTAAGTCCTGAAAAATCTGTCTTCTTTTATACTGTTTATATCTCCTGTCCGAGCATATACAGTCTCGGTCTCCCGTACTAGTAAGACACGCCTTCAAGTTATGAAAATTAAACCTGCTAAGAAGCCTGGTGTGGGCTGTCTGGCCACAAGCACTGACCGTCCCTGAGGACCAGCCTTGCTCGGCTCGTGCAAACACACTGCAAGCCTCGTGCCTGGACCCCCCTTTCTCTCTGCCGTTTGCTACCACCTGGATCTCACCTGAATATGCAGCCACTACTCAGACAACATTAGAGGTCAACAGTGAAATTATTCAAAACAGAAAGAAGAGCAGATGCACTCTTTCCTGTCCATTCATTTCATGATATCCTATCAATACAAATAAAGCTACTCAAGAATATGTAAATAAGGTCCGAGCTTTAATAACAACGTTTCTCCAGCGTAGTGCCGTAAAGAGACCCTGGATATTCACACACGGGGCGAATGTGTAATCCTTGAATGGAAGAAACGAAACTGACCAAATGAGTTTAATGTTAGGAAAAAGGAAAGGAAAGAGGTCTGAGCTCTGGAATTTGTTATTTCAGAACAAACCTGAGAGGGACCGCCCTGGCACTATTCCCCTTTAGGCTATAAGGTCTTTACAGGGGCCTGAGGATAAAAAAACAGGCCTGTGAAAGGAAAACATCACAAGGGGACTTTTGAGGGGGAGAGATGGGTCCAAAGGATCTGTGGCTCTCCACCCTGGGCCGAGCTATTTGTCAAGAGCAGGGCTGAACCGTGATTGGGACTTGCGGCTGTGGCTGTGCTTACTGGGCCTCACTGACCCAAGACCATGCATGCTGCCAGTGTAAGGACAGCAGGGGAAGGGGTTCAAAGTGGCCTCTGCACAGACCAGGGTAGCTGTGGCCAGAATCCTTCATTTAATGTATCAGCCTTTGCTTTTTTCAAATGTTTGTTTCATTTGGCATTATGACAATCTGGTTTTTGAAATCAGTCTGCCTTTAAACCAGAAGTTATTCGACCTAAAATCAATCTAATTCATTTTAGAATCTTCAACTTTCTAATTCCCTTTTCTTGTGCCTCTAGGAATTAGACCTACTGGCATGCTAGGCAAATGTTTCACCACTGAACTACGTCCCCAGCTCACTTTGGGGGCTGTATGGTTGTTAAATGTATATTGATACAGGGTCTCCCTAAATCGCCCAGCTAGCATCAAACTTGAGATCTTTCTGCCTCTGCCTCCTGAGCTGCTGGGATTACCAGCTTCAGCCATCCTCCTTGATTTTAATTTAATTTAAAAAATCACAATATCAATGAGGAAATAAGCTGAAAAGCAGATGAAGATATTTTTTGTTCATCAGTGTTTGCTGCAGCTTCTTTGCTATGTAGCTTGATTATTTTATGGTTTCACTGCCTATAATAGAAACATGTAGGAAAATATTGAATTACTTTCTCATGTATTTATAATTTAAATTATAAAATTAATTTTTGCCTTTACAACTTTTTAAGCAAAGAAGTAACTGCTGCGTTTTTAGTAGTTGAAGATCATCAGACCAGAAATAAACTATTTGAAAAGAAAAACGGGCAGAAAGCAGATCGCCCAGTGGAAACTGCTTTGAGGTTACACAAAGACTTAACTACTCTGTATACCAGAAAACAAGGAAAGTTGCCCAAAATGTGATCCACTCTTCATATTTCCAATAACATAACTCCCAAGACAAAACATTAAGATTTAAATTCTACTATTTGGGTCCTCTCCTAGTCATTCTCTCATCACTGGGACACCATACCCAATACAGTTTAAGGGAGGAGAGGTTTGTTTGGGCTCACGGTTTGTGCAGGTTCAGTCCAGAGTAAGCTAGAGGGTAGCAGGGCACAGAGGCTGGGAGGAAAAGTGGCCTAGGAAGCAGAAGTGAAAAGAAGTGTGGGGCAGAGGATCCCTTCCAGGCCAGCCCCAGGGACCAGCTCTTCTGTCAGACCCCACCTCCTAACAGCAAGTCAGCTACAACCCCTTAATGCAGTCACTCCTGAAAACCTCATCTTTGAGCACATGAGGCTCTAGGGAAACATCTAGGTGTAAACACTAATGGGTTCTTAAATTTTTAAAAGAAAAATCCCTATCATTTTTCATAGAATTTGCACGTGCACATACTCATTATTAAAAGTTCCTACAAAGTACAATTACAGAAAGACACAAGTGAGAAAAATTACAAACTCAAGCTGTAAAAATGATTACCATAAACGTTAGTTGAATACAAATTCCAGAAAAGTGTTACAATTTTGATGCATTGTGACAATTTGGAAACTGAGAAAATGGAAAAAGCAGGAGGGCCTTTCTCGACTGTTCCTTGCTTTTCTTCATTATATTAGGCTGTAAAAGCAAGGACGGCCCATCTGGCCTCCCTCCCTTCTCTGCTGCATACTTTCAAGTACTAGGGTCCTGTTTCCCTGGAGGGAAGTTCAGGAATCTGGACAAACAGGTCCTGCTAAATTGTACTTTGTGTCTACACATTATTTCCCAGAACTTTTCACCTCTTTATCAGACTGAACATAAAGTATGTAGATTTGTTTCTTTGAATCATTTTTAAAGTTCCTGTGCCATATAAAACTTACATTAAATAAGTGGGTAACCTTTTCTCTTACCTCTGAAAGGCTTCAGGCGTGGACCTGACATTTGATGACAAAAATATTATTCCTTTTTCTCCCCAACAACTTCAAGAGTTAGACGGAAGGATGGAAAGACAAGACATGACACATACTTACACAGCCACACATAGGCACACACACAGGCTCATGAACATTTCAAGAGAATCATTATTTGCTCAGTATATATGAGGCTCTGGTTTCAATCCCCGCTCTGCTTAAATAAATAAATAAATAGGAATCAGATAAGTGACATTTTTAGACATTAAATTTATTTTACATGAATTTAAGATAGGAAAAATTGAAGTGAAATTAAAGGATTTTTGAACTTAAATTTTATATGCTTCTAAGATTATCCACTGACACCATTTCTTAAACAAGCCTTTAAGTAAAGAAAAAGTATAGAGTTCTTTATCTTCAATTTCCTCTTCTTTCCATTCCTTCCAATCCCATTTCCCTTTCCTTTTATTTTTCTTTTATTTGTAGGAAGGGCTTAGGCCAGCCTCGAACTTTGAATTCTCCTCCCCTCCCCTCCCAGAGTTCTGGGATTTCAGGCTTGTACCATGGTACATACCTGTACGGGTTTACAGGCATGCACTCGTCTTCACAAAGCATTACTAAAGTCATTCCTTAGGTGAGGCACAGCAGAGCAAGGGAAGGGCCTTGACTGCCTGTCAGAGTCCAGCTGGAGCTGTGTTGGAAGAGGGTGGGTAAAGGGAGGGCTTAGGGCTGGGGCGGGAAGAGAGAATGCACCAACCTCCATGCACTCTGGAGAGGAGCCTAGAGGAGGAGCGAGTTGTCGGGAAATCTCACGGAGGGAGAGGATGCCACCCAGTTCTCCAGTGCAGGAGGCTGAGTGTAGCTGTGAGAGCCCAAAGGGAAACCACCAAGAGCCAGGATGGGATGAGGTGGGTTTTTCAAAGGGTCACACAGAGCAGGGTGGAGCCTCTCCTAATCTAAAAACAGTAACTGTACTATTTTATTTTAAAATCTATTTTCCATATTTTCAGGACATTGTGCAGTTGCTGTTTATGTATTGATAACTTGTCCAGAGCATTCTGAATACTCTTACTCTATTTTAGCATTTGGCTACACCGTTCCTATATATTTTCTATCTTTTTATACTCTTCTTTTTTTTGAGACAGGGTCTCACTATGTGATTGAGATATATTTTCTATCTTGAGTAATTATACTTTCTGTATAACTGAGCTATCTATCATCTAGTGTCACTACCACAGGAAGCCACTGAGCATTATCCTAGTTTAACAAAGCTGGAATTCCAAACTATACATCAGATGTTTGGCAAAGATGTTTGACAAAATTCTTAACTATATCATTAACAGTTTTTTATTGATCACATGATTAAGTGATAATATTTGGGATGTGTTAATTTGAATAAAACAAGTTGTTAGAATTAATTTCTCTTGTTACTTTTTATTTCTTGATATGGGTACTGGAAAATGTAAGTATATACAGCTTACCTTTTTTTTTCATTAATTTTATAGGTACATTTTAAGTATGCAATATGACATTCATCATTGGGAATCTATACCTTTACATAATATAACTCGGCTCTTATGTTTTCCCCATTCCCCTGCCCTACCATCAACCTCTCCACCCCTCCCTGTTTTCAAAGTCTGTTTCCTTTCTTCCTTGTCTCATACTTATTCCTTTCCTTTCTTTTCTCCTACCCTTCCGACTTCCCCTTCCCCTGTGGAAATTTTCTTCCTATTTCACATTATCTATTATACATTTGGATCTTTACTTACACTTTCATTTTCTCACACCAGAGAAACTATTCAGTATTTACACATGTGTGTCCTCTTCATTTCACTAAGTGTATCACCTCAATGTGCATCCATTTAGCTATAAATGTCTCCAGTTTCTCATTCTTTATGGCTGAGTAGTACTCCATTTTATTAAAAACAACAGCCACAAAAACAAAAACATCTTCTTTATCCAGTCTCCAGTTGATAGGTAATTAGGCTGTTTCCAAGTTTTAGCTATTACAAACTGTGCCACTCTGAACATAGGTGTACATATATTACTGTGGTATGATTGTTTTAATTCTTTTGGGAAAATATGCAACAGGGGAATAGCTGGGTCAAATGGGATCTCTAAGCCTAGTTTTTTTGAGGTCTCTCCATTCTGATTTCCACAGTTCTTGCAGCAGTCTACACTCCCACCAACAGTGGAGCAGGATTCATTTTTCCCCACATCCCTGCCAGCATTTGTTATTGTTTGATTTTATGACAGCAGCCGTTCTTTCTGGGGTGAGGTGGAATCTCAGTGTTGTCTTCATTTGCATCTCTCAAATGACCAGTGATGTTGAACATTTTTTCATATGTTACCTGCTGCTTTTATTCCTTTGTCTGAGAAATGTTTGTCCATTTCAGATGTCCATTTAAATTTGAGAGGTCTGATGAAATTCTTTGTATATTCTAGACATTAGGCCTTTGTTTCAGGAACAGCTGGTACAAAATTTTCCCACATTGTGGTTTTGTTCATGAAATCTTTTCCTACACCAGTGTCTTCAAGAGTTCTACCTAACCTCGTTCAGCTGATTTAGTGTTTCTGTTTAGTGTTTATATCTTTGGTCCATTTCTATTTTAGTTTAGTGCATGGTGAGAGATGTAGGTCTACTTTTGAACTTTGTCAAATTGAAACCCAATTTTTCCACTTATTAAAAAGGCCTAGAGCCAGGGTGCTGGGTTCCTTTGTCAAAGATGAGGTGGTTGAATAGGTCTAGAGTCATTACTACATTTCTAATCTGTTCCCCCGATCCTTGGGTCTGTTTCTATGCCAGTACCATGATGTATTTTTTGTTTGTTTGTTTGTTTTTTGTTTTTTGGTACTGGGGATTGAACTCGGGTCCTTGGGCTTGCAAGGCAGGCCACCGAACCACTGAGCTAAAGCGCAGGCCCCTGTATTTTTTTTTTTAAATCACAGTAGCTTTGTGGTATAGTTTCAAGTTGGGGATTGTGATACTCCCTACTTTGTCTTTGTTTCCCAGAATTGTCTTTGCTATCCTAGGTCTCTTCTTGTTCCAAATGAATTTTTGGATTGTTTTCTCAAGATCTATGAAGTATGCTATTGGTATTTCAATTGAGATTGTATTGAATCTATATAGCAGTTTTGGAAGTGTGGCCATTTTCACTGCATTTGTTTTTCCTAAGGGTAGGAAATCTCTTTTTTCGGAGTGCTGTAGTTTTCTGAGTAGAGATCTTTGATTTCTTTCGTTAGGTTGATTCCTATTTCATTTTTTTGGATGCTTTTGTGAAAGGAGTTGTTTCTCCAGTTCCTCTATCACTGAGTCTGTTGTTGATGTACAAGAAGGCTATTGATTTTTGTGTGTTGACCTTGTATCTGGCTACTCTACTGAATCTGGTTATTAAGTCTAGAAGACTTTTGATGGAGTTTTTGGGGTCTTCAATATAGAGTATCATGTCATCTGCAAATAATGACAATTTAACTTCATTGCTTCCTATCTTTATTCCTTTTACTTCTGTCTCTTGTCTAATTGCTGCAGCTAATGTTTCCAAAACTATATTGAACAGGAGTGGTGATAGTGGGCATCCTTGTTCCTAATTTTAGCATGAAGAATTTCAGTTTTTGACCATTTAGTATGATGTTGGCTGTTAATTTTTCACAGATGGCTTTTATCTGGTTGAGATAGAGATCATCTATTCCAATTTTCTGTAGTTTTGTTTTGTTTTTTGTTTGGTACCAGGGATTGAACCCAGATCCTTGCACATGCAAGGCAGGCCACTGAACCACTGAGCTAAATCCCCAGCAAGTAGTTTTTTTTAATTTTTTAATTGTGAATGGATGTTAGATTTTGTTGAACACCTTTTCTGCATCGATTGAGATAATTATATGGTTTTTGTACTTGGCTCTATTAATATAGTGTATTAAACTTATTGATTTGTGTATGTTGAACCATCCTTGCATCCCTGGAATGAATCCCACTTAGGGTGTATGATCTTCTCAATGATCTGCATTCTATTTACTAGTATTTTATTGAGAATTTTTGCATCTATGTTCATTAGGGAGGTTGGTATTATGTTCTCTTTTTCAGTTGGGGCTTTTCTGCTTTGGGGATCAAAGTGATGCTTGCTTCCAGGAATGAATTTGTGAGTATTGCTTTGCTTTCAATGACATCATCTCTCAATACATTCAAACACATTCTCAGTCCCATCTTTTCATTGTGGAAAGTCCTTGGAACACTATCATCCTTATCTGAATTGGGATTGCTCTGGGTTGTTTCAGGACTTTTTTAATGGATTTTTATTATTTAATGAAAATATTTTGTAATTTTAAGATGATTTTAAATTATGATAATAAAATGAAACACTTACTTATGAGAATGTAATATAAATCAATTTCAAACTTATTTTTAAAAGATAAAAAGAGTATGCAGATAATATTTCTATTAGTGTAAAAATTGTGGATATGTCTATATAGTACGTAACCACATATATGATGCATATGTCTTTTTACACTACCTAGAGTACACATAGAGCTATTCATAATATATATAATACACTTTATATATAGTTGATATAGCTATATGTAGTTTATATAAACATATATGGAAATCTACGTGAAATCCGATAATTGTAGTCACAATGGAGAGGCATTAGAGGACTGGAATTCAGCATAGATGAGAGATTTGCTTCATAAATTTATCAATGTATTTATTTTCTTCTAAAATCATATATACATTACTTTTTCAAAAAATAACACCACATACAATTCTTTAACTGGTAAGCCTTAGGGCTAATATAATCTACTAAAATAACTAGAATCTACTTTCACTGTCAGTGTCAGCCTTCTTAAAGAAATAAAGAAGAATAAAAGAAGTGCTATGACAGTTGAAAAGAGATGAAAAGAGATTTAGGGTGAAAGCAGAGATCAATGAAGAGGCCATCTCATTAGCCCAGATAGAGATAGTAGCTTGCAGTGTGGTTTTGGAGGTGATGAAAGATGGCCAGCGTTGGGAAAAACAGATCATAGACACAAATGTGGGCACAGATGAATGAAGTCACATAGAGATTACAGTTTATTGGTGATGGAATCTCTATCTGCATACAGGTTTATGTGAATTAAAAGTGGATGTTAACTACACAAAACCCAGTTGAACTTATACAAAGATACCTCAACAAGTTTTGTGTTATGTAGTTTAATGAATAAGGAAAACACAGTTACTTAGCACCACTTCAAAGTACCTGCTCTAAGCACAGACACAAACACACAAAGACATTACATCACTACCAACAGCGGCACACACCGCCACGCATAATCAAATAGTAAGTCTCTGAACAGAAAATCAATAACTGACTTACAAAATAAATATTGGGCTTTTAATAGTGGTTGACAGTTTAAAAAGTGGCTGAGAAATCATCAAAACTAAGAAGCCCAACATATTTTGAAGTTGGATATGACTTTTACCTACATAGAATTGGGTTAAAAATGTGAGTCTAATTCACATTATAAATGAAAATACCTGTGAAGTGCAATTTCAAATAATTAAGAAATTTTAGCTCATGATAAAGAGGCCAAGATATCCCCATAAACATTCAAAGAATTACAAGGGGGTGCATTCATCTCTAGTGAAAAAAAGATGTGGCCCCCGTCCTGTTAATAAGCATGGCAGATGTGGGCCTATGGGCTTCCCGGGGATTTTGTTTCCTCAGCTACGTAGTTGAGGGAGTTTATTTCCAGTGGCCTGTAATGGGCTTTTCCACTAAAAAATAACTTAAGCCACCTTAAGAGTATCTGCTTTAAAGAAACATTTAGATTACAGCAAAGAGTAAGCCTATTAAAAATGTGCACTTTTATTTTCCCTTAGAGTACCATAATTTAGAAATAATCTGTATTGTTGCTCTAGAAAAAAATCTGGTCACAGAATCTCAGCATGATGACATGTTTTAAAATTTGGAAATGAATCATCAAACAATAACATATATATATTTATAAAATAATTTTAAAATGTCTTTGAATTTAGGTTAAATATGATTCACCAGTTAAAGTGTCCTACTCTTTTTTTGGGGGGGGAATTTTTGGTACTGGGGATCGAACTCAGGACCTTGCACTTGCAAGGCAGGCACAGTGCCACTGAGCTAAATCTCCAGCCCTAAAATATCCTACTCTTATATTTTCAGAATTAAGAATTTGAGCATGAGAAAAATGATAAAATGATAGCATTTTTTCCAGCCATTCTGTTTCATATGAAATCAATGCAAAGTGAAAAGTAAATACGCTGCCATACTATCAAGACAGCAAAGATAAGGAAAACTGGTTCACATAGAACATTCCTTCTATCAAATCCTCATTCAAAACTACATTATCTTCAACACTCCTTGGCACCACCTTGAACGAATTGAACAAAAATAGGTAAAACCATATGACTGAGAATACCCCATGACAGAGCACCTTTTCTCTGTATCAATGACGGATGTACATGGCGTCATCCCATTAGTTCTTTTCTGTCTCCATCAGGAAAGCCACTTTGTAGATTCTACATGAGTATTTCACCGGGGATCTTACAAATCCTACTTGTCTTCAAATTACAAGGAAAATCATTCCAGCCCCATATGTCTCGGTCATTAACAAGGACAGCACAATCTTCTCTCTGAATACTGTTGAGTTTATTCTCATGCCAAAGTCTGAAAGAAAGAGTATGTATGATAATATGTATAAGAAACAATATACATAGACATAGATTATAAATAGACATAGAAATGTATAGATATAGAAAAGACACAGATATCAGGGCACGTCCCAAGAAAATGCTCCTATGAACAATTAGGAGTTGTACTGTTCAAAACAAGTCACTGGCTACATGTGACTATTTTGCACTTGAAATGTAGCTTCTCTGTATTGAAGTACACTCTAACTGTTAAGGGCACACTATATTGTGAAGATGACACACAAAAAAGTTGTAAAACACATCAATAATTTTATATTGTACATCATTAGTATAAACTTCACCTCTCTTACTAGTAAAACTACTAAGTTACACCTATAGTTTTAATGTCATATTATTATATTACATAATATAATACTACCCCATAATACTGGTTTCAAAGAAGAGAACAACAAGGTTATGAATGTGTTTCAAAGGTAACTTTAATATTTATCGTCTTGTTTGTCCAAATGTCAAGTTTAAGAAAATCTTTGCACATCTCCCATATGCTACCCATTCTTTAATCAACATTGTACAAGCAAGAATATTAAAAATTTCCCTGAAGTCGCAGGATTATTCTACAACTGGGACATCATACACATAGGTTACCCCAGTCATATGAATTCTTCTTACCTTTGCCTTATGTGCTTACAAATTCTCTTAGTTTCGATCAATATACTCACGCCTTATGTGGGTTAAATGGTGTCTCATCTATCCAGCGCCACTGACCTCTCACGTTTTCACTTTTAAGTCCAATGAAATATGAAAACACCTTATTCAGAATTTTAGTTGTGAAGTTCTGCATCCAAAACATAAACTTTTATAAGTATACTTGCACTTAGATGATGGTTGTTATATTGACAAAGAGGAAATGATATCAGTAGATCGCTGCTTTGGGATTAGGTCCTTTGTCCAACTTTGCTTATAATGTTAATTAGCGCTTCAATCTCTCCAAATCCTTGGTTTTCTCATCTCCAGAAAGTATAAGTCCACTACTTCCTAGAGTTATTGTGAAGATTTAAGTGATATCATGCTTGCAAACTTCTTAACACAGGCTGGAAAGAATGGCATTTTTAGGGGATTTGGGGTTTTAAATTTCCTTCTTTAACTATTTGTGCATTTCCTTAAATTGTGTTTTATTTGAAGGTTGTCAAGCATACAGACAGCAAAGCCTCTGAAATAGAGTCCTTGAGGATACTCTACTAAGCAAAAAAATAATAGACTCTGAATCACGGTACATCCCACAGAAGTATTTTACATGAGGAGATAAATTTCAGCTTTTGATGAATTTAATTTACTTTTAGGTTTCCTTGCCTAGAAATACAACTGTACATCTGAGCTATTTTTCTTATACTTTATTCTGATAAGCTATTCACTCAAGTACTGGAGAAAGTTACACCTTCCTGTCCAGTGTGTCCGGCTCTGCACATGACACTGGCTATGCAAAGATGAGTAATGTGTAGCCCCCGTCATTGGAAGAGATGCCACATGAGTGAATGCCGTGATTTATCGGTGGGGAAAAATACACAGCAGAACCTATAACTTAGAATAGGGAAGCAAGCAAATAAGGGAGGTGGTCAAGATAGCTTTCTGGAGGAAGTAACACAAGAATGAAATCTGGAAACACCAGAAGAATTCAGTAATATATAGAAAATTAATTTTCTAGGCCGGGGGTTTAGCTCAGCGGTTCGGTGGCCTGCCTTGCAAGCACAAGGACCCGAGTTCAATCCCCGGTACCAAAAAAAAAAAAAAAAAAAAAGAAAATTAATTTTCTAACATACTAGGTATGTTTGCTTTTACGTACAAAGTATGTATCTTGCTATACAATTCCTATGTATGTATGTTTCTCTTATGAGAACATTGGTAAATGATGCTACAATCTACATTGGGCTTTGCTAGTACGAAAGACATCATTGAAAATGAAAAGGAAAATGAGGACAGAGCAAGGAGAGAGCAAGAGAAGGAAGGAAGAAAAAAAAATAAGAGGAAGCAAAGGCTTTCCAAAGGATGGAGCAGATGAAATGAAAGGCACAGAGGCTCCGCAGAGCAGAGAAATGGTCTCTCTGCAAAGACATTCAAAGCAGCAGAGAAACTGGGGGTGCCCTCGAACGCACCTGCTCTGCTTCCGAGACGATGCTGGCCAGGTGGGCCCCCATCCCTGAGCAGTTCCTTTCACTCTCTGCCCAGGTCTTGTTGTCGTTCAAAGGGAAATAGCAGTGGGACTGGAAGGCTCTCCAGCCAGCAGGACAGCAATTCCAGGTACCCGCTCCGGTGAGAATGGAAACGGAAATTACACGGTTAGGGAAGCATATTAAATCTGCAGGATCACATAACCATTTCATTACCCAGTATCCAATTAACATTTGTGGAACTGCTACCTGCATTACCGAAAGCATTGTCTCACCCACTAAAAACGTCCTGAAAAGTATATTTCTGAACAGAAGTACCTGAAATCATATCAGAACTGTGGAAAATCATGAAGTATTTACTTAGAAACCATGATCACTATTCAATGTCTACATCTATTTACTTTCATATATAAAGTGTTTCTTTAACACAGCCTCTTGCAGGGCAATTTATCTGAAGAAAGCAAAGGATCTGCCGAAGCCCAACGTTTCCCCATTCTCCCAAATGTGACATCTTTACAAATTCCTGAACAGCAAAGGAGATAAAGATATCTCAGCAAAGCTATATATGCTACAAGGAAACCTCTTACCAAACACTGGGAAAATGGCATTAAGTTCATGTTATCCTTTGGATATTAAAAATAGCTTATAGGGTCTGGGAGTTTGGCTCCTTGGTTCCGCCGCCTGCCTCACAAGTGTAAGGGTGTAAGGGCCTGAATTTGATCCCAGGTAGCAAAAAACAAAAGCAAACAAAAATAAAACACCTTATAAAGGTGTTAAGTTATATTCTCCAGGTACTATCTAGGTGTTATTCCTGTGCCAATTTTGGTTTTACACTGTATTATTTTTTCCTGGTTCACTACTGATTATCCTTAAATTTGAAATGTGAATTTGAATGGAAATGGAAATAAATTCTCTCATGGTCTCAGCTGGCTGTACCTTTCTGTCCTGATGCCTCCCAGATGCATGTCAACTTCCTGTGGTACTCTGGCAACTTAAACATTTTTGTTCCTCTCCTACAGCGTGGAAAGCTGTGATGAGTCACTAAGAAGGAAAAATATGTTATTTTCCTTTTTTGCATAATCATTTAATTAGGAAAAACTTTATTTTCACCCTATTAGTCAAGACCCACATTCTCTTGTCTTCCTATGTAGTTCTTTGTTCCAGCTCCGGGTAAAACACATTTTTAAAAACTAATACTTTTATTTCACAGTATCTATTTGGGGCTTTATATGGGATATTTTACATGTTCGTAAAATGGTCTTTTCATTCCTTGACACAATGCAGCACCATCAACTGGGAAGTCCCGTATATAAGTCTGAATGCGAAGCCCAAGATATCAAACTCATTATGCATTGATGTATTGAAGGAAAAGTCCATATAGTAAAAACTTAGAATGGCTTTATAAAGGTTGTTTGGGAAAATAATTCAAGGGGAGCTCCACATTAGCTAAAAACTTACCCAAACAACTTGCAATAAAACAAGCAGCAAGAAGTGAGATGAAAACAGCAGCCACAACCCTCGGGGTTATCTGAGAATGCTGGCATTCTTGCATTAGGATGAAAGCAAAAATAAATGTGTTACTGTTTGTTCTGCCACAAAGTCTGGGGAATCCAGTTCTACCAAAGAGAAAGAAAGCTAAGTATAAGAACATTCAAAGTATTTTAGATCTAAAGAACATCTTACATATTTCCTTGAAATAAATCAATTTTTACTCATAAATAAAAAAGAAAAATGTGAACTTCTTTGTAATTTTGGAACTGGAGAAGTTTTTATATGCAAAGCACAAGACCAAAAAGCCATAAAAACTGATGTTTGAGTACTTAAAACATTAAAACTTCTATATAACACAATGTGAAAACATAAGAAATACAGGGAAGAAACAATTTGTTACAGTATTGGCATCTAGATGACATGAAGAATTTCAAAAATAAATTCAAAAGCTGAGCAAAACTTTAAGTAGAAACTTTGCTGAAAATTTAATTTGCTAAAATTATAAATAACTATTAAACAAACAAATGAATGTAGGAAATTGTAAGTTAAGATGTTAAAGTACAGTTTTTCATATAAAGCTTTAAAAGCAAATTTAAGCAGGCTTGGTGGCGCACTCCTGTAATCCCAGCACTTGGGAGGCTGAGGCAGGAGGATCGCTGTGAGTTCAAGACCATCCTGGGCTATATAGTGAGTTCCAGGTCAGTCTCAACTACATAGTAAGACCCTGTTTCAAAAAAAAGAGTAAATTTAAACTATGAATTGTTGGGTATTGGAGAGAAAGTAATCGTTCATGATCAGGAATAAATGCTGAGGCTGAGACTGAAAATTATTCCAATCTTTTAGAAGTGTCAGTTTAGTAGCATTCATCAATTTTAAATGCATTACACTTGCTACAAGAATTGCAATTCTAGCATTGTCACATAGAAATAACTGAAAATAGCAGTATAAAAGGATATTTGTTACAGTATTTTAGAAGTAGAAAAAACACTCTAGAACTCAATATTTATGTTTGCAATTTGATTATAATACATCAAAAATATCAATAGAATTTCTGAATTATCAAGAATTTCTTTGATGAAATTCTACACAGTAATTAGATGATCATGTGTATCTATCTGTATTGATATAAAACATTTGCAAGACATACTCTTATATAAATGGCATTTTGGCAGACTGCTGTACAGTATGAACCCACTGAAGTTTGGCATGGCAGATAGGTGAGATGAACAAACTTTAATTTTAGATTTATATACTTTTGCATTCTCTCTCTCTATTTCTCAAAATGTTTTATGTTCAAACAGCGTAACCCCTTTGGTGTCCCTCCCACCAGTCAAACATAAAACCAGAGTCAGAGCCTCTGACACGCCACTGTGTCTTCTCAAAGAATCTTCCCAAATTAGTCCCTTCCTTTCCACCTTTTTTCTCTTTTAGTGCTTTATGTCCTCTGTTGGTGCAATCCACATTTTATAAAGAAGTTCCTGTTGCTTAACTTTTTGAAACGATCCATGCCTTCCCCTCCGCCACGTTATCCTCATCTTTTCCCACCTCTTCCTTCCCATCAGCATGGTCTTCAACATTCAAAACCACCATCCACTCATATTTTAAAATCTTGGTCATAAAACTGTCTGCTTCTTAAAATTAAAAGGAGAGAAGAAGAGTACTCACCTTTTCTCTGAGGTTCGACTCTTCCCATTGTGTGTTTATTGGCTTTTTGACTGCAGATTGGGTGGACCAGGGAGCTGTTCTATCCCCCCATCCAGTATGCGGCTATGTGGATGCAGGAATTTATTCAGAAATACTTGATCCTTACCTATTTTAGTGAGATTAAGCACAAAACAGTTTACTTACGAGAAGTCTTTCCAAAGACTGAGGTTTCCTTTGGTTCTCTCCAGCAGATGGTGTAAGGCAAAAAGGAAATTGAGAAAGCAACACCCAAAATAGTCAGTACAAGTTTCGTAAATATGTTGAGGTTCCCATGGGCCATATAAAATTTTTCAGTATTTTCATTCAGGCAAAATATTTAGCAATACCCTACAGAAGTCATTATGCCTAAGCAAAAGCTAAGTAACATATCTTTCTCTTCTTCTGGTATTACATTTTTAAAGGTAGCTATGTGCTTGAGACTTTATGCTTTAAACTCTGTCCTAGGAAGTTCTTTGAGCTGAATGAGATGCTCAAACTAGTGGCCAAAGACCGTATGCATAAAGGGCAGAAGCTTTCAATGTCCGTTTTGTACCCATATTGTACGTAATGACACAAAAGCCTTTGTTCTTAAGTTGAAGAAGGGGTGATGGAGCTGTTAATTAAAATTCAAATCTTCCTGTGTGAGACAAAATAGCTTTGTTAAAAAGCAGAGAAAAACAAAATGTAAGACTGTGATAAAGACATCATCTGCTTCCCAGAATTCACATATAATAGTGTGAAGGGGTGAACATCTGTGTCTCCAAAATGTGTTTGTTGCAAGGCTAATGACCTCTGCAGTGGTGTTTCTAGCTGGGGCCTTTGAGAGGTAATTAAATTTATAAGGTCATAAGCATAGGCTCTTCCTGATGGAATTAGTGCCCTTCTGAAAAGCGATCAATCTGTTTGTCCTCTTCCTCCTGCTTCCCCTTGCCGGATGATTACGAAGCAGGAACAGGGCCAGCTGCCAGCCTGGAACAGGGTTCTCCCATAGCCTGAGCCTGCTGATGCCCTGATCTTAGATTTAGCTGTGAGGAATGAACGACTTTTCTCACCTCTGAAATGGTGCTTTATTACAGTAACGCAAGCTAACTGAGACAATGATCTAGCAGTTTATAGGTCCTACTTAGACTCTCATTTTCAGAATACAGAACTTTCCTCTCATTCTTCCTTAAAGTATACTATACAATATTACTTTAAAGACAGGCAGATAGATAAACAGACAGTGATCTTCAGTGAAATACTACTTTACTATATTAACGTGGGGGTGAGAACATAGAAAATTATGTTTGAATATATATATATATTATATATATATAACATAATATATTAGCACTATCACCACAAAAAGCATTTCCATATTCTCAGAACAATTTTTCACTTTCAACCTAAAAACTAGATTTTTCCTGAAAGCAATGGATTTTCTTACTTAAAAAATCTAGGATTCTAGAAGACACATGAATCCTGCTTAGAGTAGGATAAAAAGAGACCTGCATGATCTGTCATTCCCAGAATGCAATTATGACTTCAAAACAAGAGGGACACTGTTCTAGAACAACCTCTGAAATGAGTGACCTGTGTCCAAGCCACAGTTGTGATTATGAGAAAACAATGTGAACAAGGAGCAAAAGCTCTATTATTCTTTATCTGGGAGTGGAAGCCCCAAAAGAGTTAATAATTAAATTCTGGGATCTTCCTAGATGATAGAAAGCAAGCTTGTTAAGATAAAAAAAGAAGAAAAGCATAAGAGTGTGGTGAAGACAAGCTCTTCATCACAGATAAAAGATAAAGTGGCCAACATGGCAGGACTTTAAGGAAAATTTAAATAACTTGACTACAAAAATAATTTATTTCCTGCAAGTTGTGGCGGCGCACGCCTGTAATCCCAGCATTTGGGAGGCTGAGGCAGGAGGATCACTGTGAGTTTGAGACCAGCCTGGGCTATGTGGTGAGTGAAAATAATTATCAGTCTGATTTTATGCTTAAAAATAAGTCAGTTGTCAAACAGATCACTCAATGTTGCATAAGTGGAATGAAATCATTTCAGTATTGGAAAGAAAAATAATGTGACCGAAACATGATAGAATATGAAGAAATACATTGCAATACTCACTACGAATACACTGAACAGTGCTGCCTCTAGTTAAACATGTTGCCAAAATCTGCTGTTTGAGGGCAGGGGATTTAGCTAAGTGGTTCCACAATCTGCCTGGCAAGTGCAAGGACCCGAGTTTGATCCCCAGTACAAAAAAAAAAAATCTGCTGTTTGACATCAGTTTATATCATCAAATAAGTGAATATTGACTTGAATTTCTTCCTAACATCCTGAATTTATATGGTTGCTGTTCCAACCACATAGGATAGACAGTGTTATTCATAGAAGAACACATACCATTCAAATTTATTATCATCATCATTTCTATTATTTAATGTGGTACACTGGGGCCACTCAGATACATTCTCAGGCCTTTTATTTTATTTTATTTTATTTTATGTTTTTAGACAAGATCTCCCTAAGTTTCCTAGGCTAGTCTTAAATTTGTGGTCCTCCTGCTTCAGCCTCTTGAGTAGCTAAGATTATAAGCACCCAGTCAAGTTTCATTTATATTTTACTGTAGATGGGGAGGGGAGGAGGGGGTGAAGGGAGGGCAGAGGTAAGGGGAAAAAAATGAGAATCAAGACTTGCCATGTAAAGGTACATGATCCCAACAATGAATGTAACTGTACTGTATCCCTAAATGTACCAATAAACTCAATTAAAAAAAAAATTCAGAAATATCCTAATGTAATTTTAGGAAAATCCTGTTGTACATTGAATTCTTTAAATCAGTTAAATTAAAAATTAATATTACTTTTGCCAGAATACATAGATGCCATAAAGAATGATTGTGAGAATTGTTATCTTTATATTAAAATTATTGAATTTAATACTTAAATAAGGAAATGGAACATCAGTTTGTATGAATGTTAAGGAACACTATTGCATACTTTGGAAAGATCATGACTTTCTTTTTGCAAAATGCTAAAAGTTTCCAATTGGTAATCCAGTGACATACTCAGGTCACATGATATGACTCAGGTCACATGATATATTCAATTTTGTTTGTGTGTGTGTATATACACACACACACACACACACAGGCAGCCTACAACTCTCTAAAAATGCTTTTCTATTATACTTGGGGTTGGGCAGTAGTCAGAAATACTTTTTGGCTTTATATTCAATGCACATTTTATATAGCATCTTTACCAGTAATGAAGCTGGTATTTGAATTCCTTCCTGATTTTTCTTGTCTTCATAATTTGTTTGGAACTAGAAGAAAAGAGAGATATTACTACTTGTCCCCCTTAAATACTAACATATATTTCTAGATCATGGTCTGGATAAAGACAGGAAAAGTGTTAACAATGACCCTTAAATTGATAATATGAATACCTGGCCACTGGCTTTCAAAAACCAAGGAGCAGTAGAAGGGGCAGAGTTTGTTGATAAAGTCTAGAGTGTTGTTTTAACATGGTGAATCTGAAATGCTCAATTCTCCATGTGAAGGAGCAGGAGCTACTAAGGTAGAATTTGGAGATGAAGAGGAACAGGAACTTCAACATTAGAACAGGAAGTTTGCCTGCTCCTGTCTGAGTGGTATCTTTCAGGATTGCATTTTAAAGCAGGTTAGAAAAACTCTTCATTAATTTTCCATTATGTGGAACTTCTGTGAATCACTAGGAAAGAGGAAGGTTGCTAAGGAACTAAACAGAGAGAGAGAGAGTTCTGGTGTTTTTCTTCAGGCTATAGAGCTTAACTGTTCCTAAAACCCCCCAAACACGATTCCATTTAGTCTTGCCCAGGTTTTAAAGTTAAAAATCTAGCATCATGGTCCTGAACCATTTAACGCCAGTTTTCTCAAATCCTCCTAAGTATGCCCATGCTCTGTACACCACCTGGGAAAGAAAACTTCATAATATCGGAGCTTACTTGTATTTGTCTATATTATTTATTTATAGGTCTACATATTTTTAGGTGCATACCAGATTAAAATGTGAAAGCTACAGATTAAAGCAGGAACTCTGTAAGGTGCCTCAGTATTTTCCTAGTACAAGGAAGAGTAATCACCCAGCAAATTTTTTGACATACCAATATCTGCATCTCTTTATTTTATTATTCTTGAAAATAAATAAAGAAAAGGGCTTTTGAGGAGGAATTCAGTGGGCTAGGTTCTGGTTGATCGTTATGTAATTTAAAGTCTTGTGTGATGGCTCTGCAGGAATCTTTGTCACTTAATCCAGTCTCTGGTAGATGAGTTTCTCCCTCGGCACAGTCTTAATTTTGTGGAGCTTCTGTTAGGACCTAACATGGTCAAGGTTTAGGGCAATGATAGTAGACTTCTGGGTGCTCACGGGTAGGTGAAGGGCCCTGGAAATCTCTTATCTTGGAGTCCTTAGCCTTAATGTGAGGAGAGTCAAGTTATAGAAATTTAGGGCCAATGAAGGTAGTATTGTCAGCTTCTAGACAGACACTCCCTAAACCATTACTGTGCAGAGATGCAGGGCTGACCAGGGACTCGACCTAAAGTGCTAGGTAATAAAACAGGCAGACACAAATGAAGGTCAAGGTTTGTTTGTTTGCTTTTAATTACCTATTGGACATCTGTGGGCCCAAATGACAGGCCAACAGTGAAAATTTAAATGTTATTGCTTGGTTTTAGCAAAGGCAGCTTTTCAGTCCTTTATGGCCTCAGAAGTAAACATAAATCAATCTTTTAATGAGTAACAGGTTAAGGCCCAGGAGTTTATTTGTTCTAGAGACTAGTGGTCTCTGTCTCACTATTAATTACAAATTTTTTCTTGAATTAAATGAGGGTAAATGTCCATGATTTGTTATATTTTAAATCATGAAATTATCTCTTCTTTGGCAAGAATATGAACTAATGTCTCTTAGTTCCTCATTTAATTTTTCTATTCCTGTAATAATTCTTTCCGGTTTGTGGAGCTAAAAACTAGTCTGATTCATGTATATTTCTTTTAATCTAAATAAGGATTTTCTAGTCCACTTCCCCTTCAGTAATGAAATATTTCTACTGAGACTCAATTCCCCAAAGTATTTGAGCATAAAAACCTAAAATAGAGTCAACTTTAATGATGATACAGTTTCTACTACACTAAAGTCTGACTGTT